ATATATATATATATATATCTGTAAACATTTTAACACAATGTCTGTCATATAGAAGATACTTAATAAAAGCAATAATATAATTTTAAAAAAATTTAATCAAGCCATGTACAGACTACTCAATTTTGTCTTTCCACTGGGGGTTCTCTATGTCCAGGCCAGGGACACCCACGCCCCCACCCTAAACATTCCTAAGTCCCAAGATCACGTGTGTCCGCTACAGGACTGTCCCTATGTTTCCCTCCCTCTGAAGCTCTGCAGGGATTTCTCCCACAAAACCATCCTCAGTCCCTAATGAACATGACAGCACTGTGGGAGTCTGACCCACTGAGCCCCCTTCCCTACAGAACCTGCCAGAAAACAGAAAAACTTTCACCTGCTGTGAAAGTCTCTTTACCTGAAGGCGTAGAGAGTCAGTCATGGGGGATGGCACAGAAGGGAAGGCTCTGGTCTGCGGCTGAAGGTCAAAGGCCTGGAGAAGCGGCGGCCCAGCCTCCTCCTCTGCATTCGGGGCACAAAGGGGGTGTGCTCCTCACGGGGACCCTGCCGCACGCTGTCCCGTCCTGGAGCCAAGGCCCTGCAGGCGCCTCCCCACTGGGTCCTTCTGAAATGAAGAGAAAGCCCTGAAGGAAGGCGCCATGCACTCTACCCACCTCACAAAGACTGGGTTTTTGCTCCCCGTCCTGGCCACGGGGGAACCCGCAGGACTCCAGACATCACTCTGGTTGTCCATGGGCGCCCCCTGCCGGCAGTCAAGGTCAGCGCAGGATTATAGGAGGAAAAAACAGAACCACCTCTTCTAAAACATCCTTTCTGCAACTAGCAAAACTTGCAGTCAACACACAAAGTGTGAGTTCTACGAACCCTCAGCAACATCCAGGCAAGAAGTTTTTTAGAATCCAAAACAGTGTATGTAATGAAAATACCGATGCCTAAAAATGATGACAGTGCTGATCAAATGTCATTACTACCACCACTGCTACTAATGAAAAAAAAAACAAAATTAGCAGCATGGGAGGTTAGAGTACATCCTCCCATATTCAGTCAGCACCTGTGCCGTGAGTACTCAGCTGCACCAGGGCAGGAAGACCCAACAAGGCTCCTGCCTGCAGGAGCTCCCAGGGGGAGTCATGGGGGAAGATGGACAAAGGCCACAAAAACACCACCATGTGGATGAGAAGAGCAAGTTCCCCTGTAGGGGAACAGGAGAGCACCACGTCCCGAGCTCCACTAGGTGGAGCTGAGCAGGCTAAGCTGAGGTGCCATTCTGATTTTAGCAGTGGGACAAGCAGCAGCCCTGCACAAATCCCAGTGAGTTAGCCTGGCAGGAGGCACAACCTGCAGACGCGTGGAGACAGAGGCAGTTTTGCCAGAGTGGAGGTGACAAGGAGGGGGCTGGCAGGGGAGCAGGGCCGGGAGGGGTGGGCCGGGGCCTGGCGTGGGACCACAGCATGAGTGACCGACGGCTGCTGCTGTGGGACTTTTCCCCAAACTCAGTGGCTCAACCAACATTTGCCCTCCCAGTTTGAGTGGACCAGGAATCTGGCAGCTCTCAGCCGGGAGCTTCCGCCAGACTCTCGGGAGCTGGGGCTGCAGGCCAAACCCAGACAGGACCTGGTTCCCTCAGCACCCGAGCTCATGCGGGGGTGTAAGCAGGGATGAGTCTGGAATGGGGGGCCTGTGTTCTTGTGTCTGTTCGGCTCCCTCAGTGCTTGGCCACAAGGGCCTGTATATCAGTTCTTAACATGGAGGCTTGGTCCCATGAGAGGGAAGGACAGAGAACACGGGTCAGGGTGAGTGGGTAGGACAGCAGTCACATTTTATGACCAGATCTTTCAAGTGGCGCACGGTCACATGTATTGCAAGGCCCAAAGCTAAAACAAAAGTTCACGCCAGCTCCAGTCCAGGGACAGAGCAGGCTCACGCCACAGCTCTCACCACTGCAGCTCACGTGCCAAAACATATAACCCACCAGCCCCGCTTCAGAGCCAGGGCCCCTCCCAGTCACCTCTCCTGTGACACACGAGGCTCAGAACAGGCACCTACACAACAGGCCCCTGCAGCAGCTGTGGACCCAGACCCAGAGCAGGCTCAGTATACAGCTTCCACGCAGGCTCCAGGGCCAGAACCCCCACCCACAGCAGCTCAGCAGCAGCCCAGGCCCTGGGGCAGCCAGGGGTGCAGGCGCAGCACCAGGGCAGCCCCTTCCCGCCCTGTGCACGCAGCCTCCTCCTCCGTGTTCTCATCGGACAGACACCACAGGCTTACTCCATTTCGTCTTACAATGTGCACCTCACATGACATTTAACTCTTGGATTCTGGTACACTGTCCCTTTCAGCAGCAGGAAGTACAGGCACAGTGTTGCCCCACCAACAGCACTAGCCAGTTCCAGAGCATCTTCATCAGGGGAAAATCCTGTCCTTATGAATCAGGAACTCCTCGCTCCCCGCCATTGTCCCTGGCAACCACCAATCGTCCTCCTGTCTCCAATGATTTCGCTCTTCTAGATTGTTCGGAAAAGTGGAATCATACAGTATGTGGCCTTTGGTGTCTGGCCATAAAAGCTATGGGGAGAGTAAGTTAAACATTCTTTCATTTTTAATACAAATTAACAGAGTTCACTAAGAAAGATCCCTGATGGATCAAAGAGGATGGACAGAAAATGAAGCCCCAATATTAAATTAAGATTTCATTAACTTGGAGTAAGGACCGCTTTTCTATGTATCAAACGGGAGTCAGAAAACGAAAGGAAAATGTCAGGGTTAGTGAAACACATTTAAAGGCTTTTATTTTCCTGCATATACAATGTTTAAATTTTCCTCATGTACATATTAAAATTAAAATCAGAAATGTGTCCACTGATTTCTAATATGTTATGCTTAGTAAGGCATATTGTTTTTTATCTTTATAGCAGTTAATGTTAATTTAGTGAAATAATGATTTAAATAAGAATAAGAAAAGATACATTCTTTCTACCAAAATCCTACCAGCAAATAACAAATGATATTGATCATTCTAGGCGTTTGCCTTTAAGTGCACTCATGCCTGATGAGTGTGTGGCCTGATGAGTGAGTGAGTGAGTGAGTGAGTGAGTGAGTGAGTGAGTGAGTGTGTGTGTGTGTGTGTGTGTGTGATGGGGGGGTGAGGGAATGTGCTCTTGCACCCTGAGGCCCCACAGGTGGCACATGCAGTCAGTCTTGTTCCACTCGCTCCTTCCCAGGGGACACATCCATTTACCCAGCAGTCCCGGCTGTCAACTCTTGAGCCATTTCCAATGTTTCACTCATAATTACAGGGAGGGTACATCTGTGTCCATCCACCTCTGTACTTTTCACTCTGGTCACTATGAGGGGAACACCAGGAACACAACTTATACACATTTTTTAAGGTGTCGGCTCAGTTTCAAATATCTAGGGTGTCCACTAAGTCTCAACCTTGTTTGGGAAACGGCCCACAGCCACACTGCCACTGAGATCCGAGGAGGGGAGGTGGCCATGCCAGGAGTGAGGTCATCAGGGCACCTGGAGGGACCTGTGGAGCAGGAAAGAACCTGCCCAGTCCCCTCCTGCAGGACCTCTCAGAGAGTACCCTGCTCCATGTCTTGGAAAACACCTCACCCAGGCCCCTTCCCATGACACAGCCCAGTCATTCCCTGGCCGTGGCCCAGGCCACCCCAGGCCCTTCTGCTCATACCTCAGCTTCTAAGCACAGCAGCCAGGTCCTGCTTCCAGGCCAGTAGAGGGTGCAGGCCAGACCCCTGCTTGCTCCCCAGCACCTGGCTTAGGCCCCTTCTCTCAGGAAGGAACCTGGAAGGGCAGGTCAATAATTATACATATGGCCTTGAATGCGTTCATCCAGGTGATGGCTCTGAGCTGCAATGACAAGGACCCCTTGAGCTTGAGGAAGCACAAGAACCCTTAACAAAGCACATCAGGAGCTCATGGAACCTGTGGGATGAACAGAGCATCAGCCAGAGGCTCGGCACCGGGCACAGCCCCTAAAGAGTCTGCAGCTCTTCCAGCAGTGACCCCTCTGCTGCATTTGTCAGCCTACAATCACAGGGAACGCAAAAATAAAAAAGGAACATATGCTGGAGAGAACAAACAACTTGCAAGCCAACAGTGTCTACAAAGAGTAATTGTCAACTAGCCTCTGAGAATAGCCTGCCAAGTGTTTCTATGCAATTTCAGATGGGTTTTGCTTAAAACGTGGTTTGGACTACTCTGAATGGAGAAGTTAATTAAGGCAATAAACCCAGACAGGGAAGCAAATAACCACAAATGGTGTATCTTCTACACATTAGGCCAAGGTATAGGGGCTTTATTTACTACATCATTTCATCTCAACATAATTAATTTGACCGTACCATCTTCATGCATAAGTAAAAAATTACTTCAGAATCACTCCACTAAACAGAAATGCAAAGACGTCACTATTCCTAGAATTCCTGCCACCATCACCTAACTCTTTTTTGTTCAGCACCTTTTTTATATGAATAGAAGCAGCTCTAAAAGCTACTATGTTATTTCAAATAGAGCCACTCACATCCAAATGCTGAAATGCACTGGAACGTCACCTCCAACTTTAAAGCAGAGAGGGGAGCAGTTTCCCAGCAACCTAGCTGGCCTGCCACCTCAGCAAGCCCAGAGACCACTGGCTCACTCCAGCAACAGATGTCCCCAAAGATGACTCCCTTGCCTGTGACTACACATGCTCTCTGGAGACCCAGCAGGGCCACCAAGGCAACATGAGGGCGCAGACAGAAACTGGGCCTGCACCTGCATCAGCTCAGGCAGACCAACCAGGGCGCGCCCTGTGGGGCCTCGGGACCCCCTGCACCATAGGCAGCCACCCCAGGAGAGCAGCCGCAGGGCAGAGCACCCAGAAGGCCCAGCCCGCACCTGTTGGAGCTCCAGTCCGCCATCCAAACCCACCAGGCACATGCAGTCTACCCAGGTGACACTCCCTCCCAAGGCCACTCCTTCAAGACTGGGAGAGGCAGCTAATTCACAGAAACAGAGGAAACCAAGAAGGGGAGGAGACAGAGGAACATGCTCCTAATGACAGAACAAGACAAAGCAGGAGAAAAAGCCTAGAGGAAATGGTGTTAAGCCATCTATGTGATGCAGAGTCCAAGGTGATGGTGACTAAGATACTCAAGAAACCTGAAGGGAGAGTGGACGAGCTTGGTGAGAACTTCAACAAAGAGACAGGAAATAGGAAAATGAACCAATCAAAGCTGAAGAGGAAAGTAACTGAGAAGGAAACTACATTGGAAGGAATCAGTGGCAGATCAGAGGGGGCAGTGGTGCAGCAGCCGGAGGACAGGGTGGAGGGGAGGACGCACGCTGGCCACAGACAGGAAAGGACATCTCATGGCATGAGGACAGCCTCAGTGACCTCGACCAGAACATCAAGCCCACTGACATCCACATGACAGGAGTCCTAGAAGGAGAAGAGACAGAAACTCATGTGAAGAGAGAATAGCTGAAAACCTCCTGACCTGGGAAAGGAAACACACGCGTAGGCCCAGCAATCACAGACAACCCCCAAACAAGAGAAATCCAAGGAGGCCACAGCAAGACCCTGAGAATGAAAATGTGTGAAAGTTTCAAGATAGAGTCATAAAGGCAGCAAGAGAAAAGATGCTGGTGACGCACGAGGGGAACCCCATTATGCTCTCCCATGGGAGCTCCAATCAAGGACCCTCTATCCAGGAAGGTCACCCGGACCTGAAGAAGAGATCGAGTCTCCCAGAAAAACAAAGTTGAACAAGTTCACCACCGGTGAAATGAAACTTTAAATAAAGTTAAATGGACTTGTTTAAACACAAAAAGAAAAGCAGTGTTGTAGAAGAACACTATCATAGTATACTAATTTCACTCTCCAGACCAATCATAGTGCAAAAGTAGTAAAACAGTAACTTAAAAGCTAGGATGAAGGTAAGAAGACAAAGCTAGAAAGATTCAATTTATTTAAAAAATTTGTTAAGGGAATCACCATGAATACATGCTATCATATGCATGAAGCATGGAGAAGGGAGAGTAAAAACTTAATACCACCAGAATGCATCTGAAATTAATTTCATAAAGGCTATTGTACACTTAGGATATTATAGGTGAACGTCAAGGTATCCATAAGCTAAAAACCTAGAGCTGATACAGAGAAAAGAAAGAATCCAGGCGCAATACTAAAAAAAACTATACTCATCACCAATAGAGTAATGAACAGAGAAAGACTACAAAAAAAAAAATTCACAAAGTGAAAATAAGGATGGAGCTATCAATAATCACTATAAGAATCTAAATGCTCCAATCAAAAGACACAGGGTGACTGATTGGATGAAAAACAAGACCATCTACATGCTCCCAGCAAGAGATTCACTTCATTTAAGGACACAAATGGACTAAACGTGAAGGAATGGGAAAAGATATCCTATGCCAGTGAAACTAAAAAAAAGAAAGAAACAAAAAGATGGGAAGCAATACTACTATCAGACATGGGAAGACTTTAAGACAAAGGACATACAACAAACAGAGAAGGCATTACATAACAATAAAGCCATCAATGTAGCAAGAAGACATAGAAACTATAAATATCTACGCACCCAACAGAGGAGTGCCTAAACATATAAAACAAATATGAACAAACTTAAAGGGAGAAAAACAGTGTAATGTAATAAGAGCAGGGAATTTATAACACCCTACAGATGGACATCAAAGAATTGACCATGTATACAGAAAATTGAAATTGAAACAGGAGCTTTGAACAAGTTATTAGACCAGACGGACTTAACAAACATATACACAAGAATCCATCCCCAAACAAACAATACATATTTTTAAATGTGCACTTTCCAAGAGATATTAACATCAGGCAGAAACCAAATCTCAATAAACTTAAGAGTCAAATTCTATGAAGCATCTTTTCCAACCACAGTGGAAGGTAAGCTAGTAATCAGTTACAGGAAAAAACTGAAAAAAAACACAAATACATGAAGGCGAAACAGTATGATGCTAAACAACCAATGCTGCAACAGGTACATCTAAGAGGAAAACCAAAAATACCTGAAAACTGAATAAAGATAGAAAAAGAACAGGTGAACATCTTTAGGACACAGTAAAAGCCCTTCTGAGAGAGACATTTTTAGCAATACAGGACTACCTCCTGAAACGAAAAATTTCAAATAGGCAGTCTAAAATTACCTCTAAAGGCATTAGAAAAAGAAGAAAAAAGCCCCAAGTGAGAAGGAAGAAAATAATAAAGGCAGGAGGATTAAATGATGTATAGTATTACAAAAAAAAATTTTTTTTTAAGTTTCTTCGTTTCTTCTCCAGAGACAAAAATGATAAACTTCTAGTGAGACTCATTAGAAAAAGATAGAACTCTCAAACACAATCAGTGCTGAAAGAGACGAGATTAAAATATAAACTATGTAAGTACAAATGATTAAAAGACATTACTAGGAAAAATTACACGCCAATAAATTGGGCAACCTAGAAGAAATGGATAGGTTCCTAGAAACCAACACTTTCCTAGGTTTGAAGTAGGACACAATAGAAAATCTGAAGAGATTGATTATTCATAACAAAAAATGAATTGGTAATAATAAAAGAAAACACCAAAGAAGAAAGCCCACCACCAAGTGACTTCACAGCTCAATCCTATGAAACATGTACAGAAAAGGGCTGGTATACATACTCAAAAGTGTGAGGAATAAAGCACTTCCAAATTCATTCTACAAGGCCAGCATTACACTGACATCAAAACCAAGAAAAAAGGAAACACTAGGAAAATAGAGAATTACAGCCCAATAGCCCTGATGAACATAGATGCAACAATATTCAACAAAATGAGCAGATGGAATTCAAAAATGCATTGAAAGGATCACTGACCACGACCAAGTGGGATGTTTTCCAAGGAAGCAACGATGGATCAGTTATCAACAAATTACTCAATGAGACACACAATATTACAAAAGGAAGGATGAAAACTCTACGATCATCTTGAAACATGCAGAAAAAAAGCATTTGGCAAAATTCAACATCAACTCATGATAAATAAATAACTCTAAAAACAAAGTGGGTTGAGAGGGAACATGACTCAATATTTTAAGGAAATATAGGACTAACCCACAGCCAAATGGTGAAAAGCAGAAAATGTTTCCTATAGGATCAGGAACAGGACAAGGATGTCCACTCTCAACACTTCTTCAACACAGTACCTCAACTCCCAGCCACAGAAATCAGAAAGAAAAAGAAGTCAGACAAGAAAAAGGAAAAAAGTTCCCTAAACTGGTAAGGAGGAAGTAAAATTGCCATTATTTGCAGATGGCATGAAACTCTATCTAGAAAACACTAACAAATCCAACAAAAACGATTAAAACTAAGTAATGAATTCAGTAAAACTGCAGGATACAAAATGAATATACAGAAATACATAAAAAAACAAATTTGCAGAAAGAGAACGTAAGAAAACAATCCCACTTGTAGTTGTAGCAAAAGCAGCAAGAGATCCGGAGGATGTTTAACCAAGGAGGGGAAAGAGCTGTACTCTGAAGATGCTAAGATACTGAGGCAAGAAACTGAAGGTGACACAAGTTAATGGAAAGCATCTCATGCTTATGGAATGCAAGAATTAAAATGGTTGATATTAACGTTAAAATAAAAATTAGTAATATTGTTAAAACTACCTGCAGCTCTGGGAGGAAATTGCAAGTTGGTGCAGCCACCATGGAAGCAGGATGGAGGTTTCTCAGAGAACAGCTGTGCTCTCTGTAATGCTATGGGATGAACACTGGGAACGACACTGAATGGTGGCTTGCTGAGGATGCTAAAAGGAGTTACCTACCTGCCTCGTGTGACCCTGGCGGTAGAGAGCAGCAAATGTTTGCAGAAATGGGTCAAGTAGAACTTTCGTTAAGTTGAGTTCAGAGAGATGAAGTTGTTCCCTGTGGAGACCTTGTAGGGAAAACAAAAATTAAGAGGGTGAACCTGACCCACCGGGCTTCTCCACTAAGAAGGGACAGTCCACTAGCAGCTTCTTTTCCAAGGCAGGGAGGGTGGGTCACAGGGGAAGCCCTGATTTGCAGGCAACCTGCCTCGTGGAAGGGGGTGGGAAGGATGTTCTCACCTGTGACTATTCATGCTCCAGGGGCCTCCCTGCTGAGCTCAATCTCCCCAGCAGCCTGCCCCAAAGTCTCCCCACCTGACTTCTCTGTTAGGCGGTTGTGGTGAGCCAGCTGCCTTCTTCAAGTTCTCCTAGTGCACAGGCACACAGAGACACACACTGTGCCAGGCCGCACAGTACTCTAACACACACACACACACCTGCAAGAGCTACCACACACACAGACACATGGAGGGGAGCCGACACCACGCGATGCACTCACCAGGGGGCCAGGCCGCCGCTATGCAGCTGCAGGGACCTTGACACACCCCCTGAACTTCTGCGAGCTGGCCCGTTTAGGAGCACAGAAGGCCCACGGCCCCTATGGATGCACCCTCGCAGCACCCATGCCCGCGTGCCCACAGACCAGACACCCGAACCTGCAGTCAGAGCAGCTGGCGTGCCTGGGAAGCTCCCGGATAAGACCTGGTCACCTTCCTGGCTGGGTAGGTGCGCTGCCCATGGCTTCCAATGCCCACGCACAGCTTTCCACTTTCCTCCCAGGGCCCATGCAACACCCCCAAACTCCCTGATCAAAAATCCAACGTGGAGGCGGCTACTTACTATGAGCTGAGGTGCTGCAAGTTGGCGAGGCCTGTGTGAGAACGAGGGAGCCGGGTCCCTGGCAAGAGGGCCTCTGGTGGCGGCGGCAGGAGTCTGAAGGCGTCTGGCAGCGGAGAGCGCTGGGCAGTCAGTGAGCATTGGCGAAGGCAGCGAAGGTCAGCGTCAGCGGGAAGAAGGCATGTGGTGGCGGCAGGCGTTCGGGGGTGGTGGTGTCAGCGGGAGGCACCGGCTGGCGGCGCCAGGCGGGAGGCGGGCTCCGGGGCTGG